CAAATTCTGTGATCTAACTTTACAACTGAAGACTGGTAAATCTACAGAAACTATCAGTAAGTTTCTGTTTCCCTGGCCATGCCTCCCTTTCTCCCCTGTACTATCTGTGTGCAGGGAAGTAGGGGGCAGCCTCGCCTGCTGGGCTTGCACAGGGTAGGAAGAGAGTTTAGCAGCTATACACTGTAACTTTCTTAGGAGCATAATCATTGCCATTTTGCCTTTGCTTGGTGATGGTCTAAACTTTGGTGAAATTCACCTGGTGGTATCAGCACTGAAGCTACATCAGATCAGCTATCAAAGTATGATGATTAACTGACCTTTAGACCAGCTCAAGCGCAGAAATGCTCAAAGCGGTCTCTAAGCTTCCATCCTGTAAATGCTTAATGAGTCTAATTACTTTTTTAATGTAAAAGGAAAGCTTATTCTATTCCATAGTTACATGAAGTAGTTGCTAAAATATCTATTCAATTGATATTTAAATATAGTGGTGTTAGATATCAGACATTCTAGCTGTTTGGTACTTAGGGATCTTGAGGTCAACTGTCCATCCATGCCTGAGGAGAGCCTACATCAGTGCCTTTTAACGAGCACCTTCTGGTGATTTTGTAATTAATTAGTTAGCCATGTGTTGAATATATTATTTGAAAATATATTTAAAAAGAAACAACTGTCATTACTTTAAGAGGTACTCCTCTGTGTAGAGTAAGAGCTTTGACTGTGCATCTAGATGGCCTGGGATTGGATATTATGTTTGTTTACAATCCTGGGCAGTTTCTTCATCTATAAAAAAGGATCTATCTAATAGTAGCTCCCTTATGGGTTAGTTGTGAGGTCTCAGTGAGTTATGACATGTGAAATACTTTATTTGGGTCTGGCTCAGAGTTACCACTCAATAAGTTTTAATTACTGTTATTTGTTCTTTTCTCTTCTGTTTTTCTTTTGGTATGATTTATTTAATCTTGTAGAATAACCTTTGGGGAAACTTTAGTGCATTTTCAAACTTCCCATAAAGTTATGTAGAGTAGGTTGAAAGAGCATTGTCCTGACCCTAACCACACAGAGTGGAAACTCCATGGAAGCTATATTACCTTAGCCTAATCCTGTTTCCATGTAGTATGAAGTTGTTATACAGATAAAACAACTCAAAGATGAACAAGTTTCTGACATGTGATAAGTACCCAATGGATTTTATCCATTTTTAGTGTTACTATATTTTGTGTTGTGAGGATGTTGATCTGGGTTGACTACAACTATCCATTTATTTGCATAAATTCTGAGATCTCTTATTAGCCTATTTGGTAGGCAAAGCACCAACTAGTTTAAATATAATTGTTAATTATTACTTTGTACTAACTGGTCAATTAACAATTAGTACAAATTAACATTAACTGATTAATAAATCATTGATATATATGTAAAATATATAGGTGAAATATATATGAAAAATATTTGTGTGAAATCTATATGTAGAAATATATACATGTTAGTATATGCATATATGTGTAATATATATCTTGTACATATCTCAGTTTCAGAGCTAGAGAGAAAGAGAGATTCAGCAACCCCAGGTCTAAGAAAAGAGAATGAAGAGGGGAATTCAGGGGAGATTTTTTTGCAGAAGGGGGATTCTAGTCAAGTTGAATTGTGAAGTTGGTTAGATCTTAGCCAGGATACAATGGGAGGAAGTAAGAAGTACAGGAGTAGTCTTAAGAGATAGCATATTGCTTCCGTAATGTTAGCTGGAAGGTGCATCTGAGTGGGTTGGGTTATTGAGAGGAGACCAAAGACATCCAAGAGATAAAATGAAGTCAGACCAGGTAGGGCCTAATAAATAGGCCCTGGTCAGGGAGTTTGAATTTTATCTTAAGGGCGGTAGGGAACCACTGATGGTCACTTTAAAAAAAAAAAAAGATGTATTTATTTATGCATACACGAGCAGGTGTACAGGCCAGAGGTGTGGGGGTTGAGAGGATTCACCAGAGACAACGGGAAACAGAACAGGCAGATGGATGGAAGTACACTGCTGAGGGGAGCAGCAGGCGAGCCAGGAGAGGTCTGCCGCGCCATGTGGGTTGCTCCCTGGCCAGCTGGGGAGCAAACTCGCAGGCTATGTCTCAACCCATTGTGCTACCAGGGAGGCCCCGATGGTCACATTATTTAGCTGGGAAGTGGGTAGACCAGATATGCACATTAGAAAAGAGATTCTGTTGCCTTTATGGAGAAAGAAGGGGATGGGGCCAGAAGGTTGTTAGGAAACTGGGAAAGGCAGTAGTTGTAGAAATCCAATGCTGGTGGCCTGAACTAATAGTTCTCTGCCTAAGTCCTGCATGAATCCAGGCAGGCAGCCTTTAAATCCAGTTCTGGGTGGTGAAAAACTAATATTGCCTGAATCTGATTCTCTATTATATACACCTCTCCCTGAAGTAAGTTAGAGCCTTTTGGAAGTTGCATTAAGTCTTCTAAGCCACTGGAGTGCCATTAAACCCTTGGTTCAGCATACTAAATGGAATGGAATCTGGGCCCAAAGTCAGCCAACAAATGAGTATAACTTATGTTGAATTTCCAGCAAATGTACAGTCTTAGAAGTAACATTTAGTCTGAAAAGTCACTTGGGTGCATTTGGAGTACTGAACTATGATTTACTTGGTCATACCCCAGTGGCCTGTCTGTGCATTATAGCTTCCATGGTCCTTTCTACTTTGTTCCAGGGTATGACTTAGAGAATGAAAACATCCATTTTTAAAATGTGTTTTCTATACTTTATGCATTTTCTTGGTGGATAGGGATTATTGGGGTCAGTATTGTTAAAAAATGTGTAGTATAAATGAAAGTAGCAAGTCATAACCTAGAAATGTATAGTTTAAATAAAAGTAGCAAGTTATAATCTAGAAATCTATAGCTTAACTGAAAGTAACAAGTCATAAGCCAAAGTGATTTTTCCTATCAAATGTAAATAGTGGTTAAAATGAAAAAAGCAGTGTTGATAGTCACAGTTAATACAAAGAAATTTTAGACTTGACTTTATAAGGAAATATTTAAATGTTCATTATTATATAAAGTTTGCTGTATGTTTCTATTGTACATAATCAAAAATAACTGTCCACTGATAGTCATATCCATGAGATTTAATGTTTAAAAAAATTAAAGAAAACAATATTTTTGAGAAATCTTGTGAGGTCCAAGATTCTTACTCATCATTTTATCCCCATATAGTTATGACCAGATGCCAGTATTTAGTAAGTATGTGGTCACCACATGCAAATGAACATTAATATGGGAAGCTTGTCTCTTGAGGTCCCAATGTTCAAACAAAATATATATTAACAGTGTGAGAGATCTCCAATTATCTATAATGGTCTTCTGGGAACTTTGAACAATAGATATCACTGAAATCCTCAAATAGGAGTCTTTGTAATACTTAATTAGAAACTATCATAGGAAATATTTTCCTTTCCTAATGAAAAAACAAAGCCGCAGATCAGATTTTCATAGATTTTCAGGTTTTCATAGATGCTTGATAAGTAGAGAAGAATTTTAAATATGCAAAGATATTGTCATATTTATCTAATTTGGGGGCATAAAAAGAGGGAAAAGATAAATATAGGGAGACACATAAATACAAGAGAATTTTAGAAATATTTATTTACTAGACTAAATAATTCCCAACAATTTTGTAATACTGTAATTAGTTAATTATGTTTTCTAAAACATGCCTCAGATTATCTGTTTAAGAATCCAATGAAGTAGAATTTTTACAGAGAGGGGAAATAATACATTTGAGTGGTAAAGTGATTGGTTAACTCATTACACTTGAAGTTATCTCTGACTAGTTCACATGGAAGACTTCCTTGATGAACTGCCAGTATATTTATTTCCATACTATTCATTTGCCATAAAATATTTAAAACATTACTTTTTCTGTTTATAGAAACAATGTAAAACAGGTTCTTAGTAAAATTTACATTGGTTTCACGAATGTTTTATGGCCATAGATTATACCGCTCCATAGATAATACTTTTGAGGCTTTTACGCATTTGAGAAACATTTTATACATTTTTTCTTGGGTAAATGCCTGACAATAAAATTACTGGTTTAAATAGGGTAAACCATTTCTCAATAATTGACACATAACCCAACAGTAATATTGCACCTATTTGAATTCCCATTTTGCAGTATCCCAGTGCCACTTTTTACACATCTGCCAATTCTGGATCCTGTCTTTTCAAAAATGTTTGCCAATATGAACATAAAAAATTGTAGGTTGTGGTTTTGCATAATTCAACATTAAGCTAGTAAATAAACTGAAAGAGGGAACTAAGATTTTTTCTTAATGTTTGTATCCTGCACACTGCCTAGACAGCACCTGTAATATGTAAAATACCATGTTCCTTTTTGTTCTAAGTTTTATCAAATACTCCAAGTACTGCCATTCATTCTCTTGTGGAACGAAATGATCTTTTTCAGGCACCATTTCAATGACAAGTACAAATCTGAAAGCATTTTAAGTTCTTAGAAGTAACCTTTCGTTTTTTGAGTTAGCAATAACGTTATGATCGGAGTCTGATCCCATCATTTTACATTTAGCATACTTGATGTCAAGATATGAAAAATACTGATAATGCTCTGCAAATTGAAATGGAAAGCTCAGTGTCTAATATTTTTGCACAAATGGATAATTTTGTTCAAATTTCTGCACAAATGTATTTTGTTCATTGTTACTCTTGTTCTCAGGAATTCAAAGCACTTTAATTTTTAATCATTTGTAATAGTGTAACAAATTGTCAACCATTTTAAGATAAAATTAAACATGGCAATGGGTTAGACTGAAGACAAAGTAAATGCAATGAATTCCAACTATGCATAATTACTATTTATCTAAATAGTAATATTTAGATAAATATTACTATAAATATGCGTATATTACTATTTATCTAAATAGTAATATATAGGAAATATGAAATAGAAATTTAAAACCATTTTTCTTTTAATTTTCTTTTAGGTAGCAGTTTTACAACATCATCAGGATTATATACAGGAAATAATTCACTCACAAATTCCTCTGGATTTAACAGTTCACAGCAGGTAATTTTAAAAATCAGTTTAACTTCTGAAAACTGTAAAAATACAACAGATAATTTTCTTATATGAAGAAATATCTGTTATACTTTGTGAGTTTACTTAAACCTTTATATATTTTTCTTTTAAGTCTCTCTAGCCACCTTAGATAATAAGTTGTTCAGTTTTCAGATTGCTTTAATTTTACCTAGTAATCTGGTAAAGCATGGAATATAAGAAATATGAAGACCATTTCTGATCTTTCATAAAATTTGTTTTCAAGCCTGAGCATATCAGTCATTGTGTGCTTAAGTATACCTTGTGAATTCAGAGAAGAAATAGAAACATTAAACATATTTACAGTTATTCCTTGAAATGTAAGAAATAAATAGCAGTATTCTGACAGATGATTCGTGTGTGCTTCCTTTTGATAGGACTATCCATCTTACCCCAGTTTCGGCCAGGGTCAGTACGCACAGTATTATAACAGCTCCCCATATCCAGCACATTATATGACAAGCAGCAATACCAGCCCCACGACACCATCTACAAATGCCACTTACCAGCTTCAAGAACCACCATCTGGCATCACCAGTCAAGCAGTTACAGATCCCGCAGCAGGTAATTATGTGCATTTTATTAGGCCTGCCGGCTGTATTTCTGGTGATTTAAATGCATTTTCTACAGTCATATATCCATGCAGTGGTTGCACAGTTGTGGCAAGGTCTAAATATAAATCAAGCAGGATTGCAGCATTATACATATTTTATTTTTTATTTGCTTAAAAACATTAGTATAAAATATGTATACTTCAAAAGCATATGATATAAAGATTTTACTTATACTCAATTTTCAAGGTATAAATATTTTAGATGCATAATTATATTTAGTTATAATGACTTGCACACATATTGAATATAAAAATATATGGCACTGCCTTTAGCTTCATTAAATATTTAAGGTTTTTCAAAAATGTCAAGTAGCATTGAAGGACTGATCATGGAATACAGTGATACCCCTGCTTCACCCTTTCTTATTCATGGCCTTCTGTGATTTTCCTAACAATATGTCTCAGTATGGGCATTTTCACACTTTTGCATAACCCTTGATGAACCCTTTCAAATGAAAGTCTCTCCTTTTCTGGAAACTCTTCTATGTCTTTGATACTTCTTTACCTCTGTTAGTTCTCTCTGGAATTCTTAATAAGGTATATGCTTAATTTCCTGAGTCGGTCTCTACCTATATTTCTTATATTTTTCTCTTGTACTTGTCATAGGCTTATTTTAACTTTTTTAAAAAAGTGTATTTCCTTCTTTTGTGGCTCATGAAGTGAGCTGTTATCCACAAAGAGCCAGAGTTTCTTATTCTTACCTTTTATTTCTGGAGCATAAAGCCTTCTCTGTTGGTTCAAGTCAGATTAAATACTCTCATGTTGAAAGACATTTCTATGACGTTCGTGATCAGAGTGTTAATTCTAGGTGGTTACTCTAAATCATAAAGGAAAATGTTTTATGTAATGTGTGCAAATACATTTTAACTCTAGGTTTATTTTATAAATATTAGAAATCCCCTACAGCCCCCCAAAAACTCCTTTAAATATTCCACCTTTTCTCTTAAATGCATACAACTCTGTTTAATTCTAGAAGACATTATATCCTTCTTGTTTCCCAACTAATTGCTGATACTCAGCTATTTCTTCTGCACATTTTAACTCTAAACATTTTATCTTTGAACATTATATTCCATTTTTCTTTATGTATAAAGCACTAGCTTAATATAACATCCTCACTCAGTTCACATGTGTAAATATAGTATTCATAGAGCTTAGTATACTTCTCTCTTCTTTTAGTTAGACTTCATATCTGTGTTAATCAAAGGAAGATAAACTTATGATGGCAGTGGTGTTGGATTTATTGAAGAAGTTATTGTATAATTTTACTCTCTATTTCCATAAACTTCATGTGAACCTGATGAAGAAAGATACTGGTTTGTCCCAACTTTAGAGAGCTTTTGTGTTTACACATGAACCATCTGGGTCATGGAAGCTTCTTGAAAACTGAAAGGGCTTTTTGCAAAGCCCGTAAGAGTCTGTGGAGTAATAGAATGAGAAAAGGAGTGAATAGGATAACTATGTAACTGTTATAGAGCAACCCTGATATTAAACGGGTTCCTGGCTGTGGGTCCTCACCCACGCGCTTTAAAGGGACTTACGAATACTCTACTACAGACACACACAAAAAGGTTAATAAAAGGTTTATTTACAAGAGGAAAGGAAATAAGGAAAATGTACAACTCAGGGAGAAAATAGGGAAATAAAGTCTTTAATGCGTCCTACCCGATCCGACGACCTGGAAACCCAAAGTCACTCTCAGAGCTGGCCGGACGCTGCGAGCTGGTGGAGAGCCCAAAAATGGGGTCCCCCAAAGCCCACGTGTCTGCCTTTTCTATCCACCTGGCTGCTTAACCCCACCCTCAGGTCCCAGCCACCTTCCCTTTGGTGGTGATGGGATTTGGAGTTCCCAGTGTCTTTGGCTTTGACCTGGGGTGGGGGTGGAGTCCACAAAGCCTATATGGAAATAGCTTTGGGACATCCTTTTCCCCCTAACATAACGTATGACATTTTGATAGTGACAAATACAGTATGAAACTGATCAAGACTTAATCACATTACTTTAGTTAAGATTGATTTGAGCCTTTTTGAAAAAAACGTTTGTTCAAAGCATAAAAGTTTGTCTTGAAACTTGAACTAAGTAAATTTTACTTACAAAAGGGATGCTATGTGAAAGAAAGCTTAACCAGGATACAAAGCCTTTCTATGTGGGAAATCATGAAAAACTATAATCTTCAAAAGGCATATATGATTTTTATTTTAGATTCATCTATTTTTAGGTTATATTTGAATAAACTCTTAGTGTTTTAAGTTCTTAATTCAATACCAGGGTCTTTATGGTTGTAAGATAGGAATGAACTGAACTGGTGAAGAATAATATTTTTCACATTTCTTATATTCACCACCTCCCCACTAAAGTGAGTGAGTATGGGTCAGGCTATCTTCTGTTGCATAGTTTAAAGTAGAAAGTTCAGTGGGTTTCCACACTGACAAAGAAATTCAAGGAAGATTTAGTCTGGTTTTTGATGAGTGCTGTTTTTTATATTGTTTTCATATTTGTGGTAAGACTGTAGATTCAGCCCAAGATTTTTTGGTGTTAACTTTTTTTTCTTACTGGTCATATATAAAGTTACATTGTCCTTCTTGATGAAAAGGAAGTTTGGTAAAGTACATAAATTCTCTGAAGAACTGTTAGGAATGACTGTTATGTATTGCCTTAAGTTTTTGTTTTGAGATAGAAATAAAAATTAAAATAGTGAATATTTTTGTTGAAAAATTACAGGTGTTTATTTTCTTTTAATTTTAGTAGAGCTTGTGTTAAGTGTCAGTGTTTCCTAATACTGAAAAGTTAGACTGTAGTCACTATCTGATCTTAAGTATAAATGGGTTTCTGCTTTTTCATTTCATGGACTCATGCAGTCCAGATGTTTCCATAACATGGTTTTCCTCATACTGTACAATCTCTTCTTATATTTTTCATAAAGTTATTATGTCATGATGAACAGCTAAAGATAACTGTGTAAGGTTTTTTTCAGGGCAAATATGTTTGAAAACAGGACTCATGTATTAGTGTGTGTGTGTTTTAAAGTTATATGAAAACTAGGTGTCTTTTAAGTCCATGATACTGTTCAATATTACTTATAAGCAAGTAAGTCACACAACTTCAGTTCAAAAATTATTTTAATGTGTTTATGATTAAATATTAAAAGATATATTCTCATTAAGACATGCATATCTCATTAAGATATGTACAATACATTAAAAGCAGCATGACTTGAATATGAAAGTTTAATTTCAACTTTTTTATCCACTTAAAAACTAAAAACAATGCCTTTGCATTCTATCTTAAATGAGTTTGTTAAACATGCACTGAAAATCTTAAATAAAATTTGCATCATCTGCAGATGTGCTATATGTGTTGAGAAACAGTAAAATTTATCTGGTCATTCAGCAACAATTTAATTTACTTACTGGATTTGAAAAAATCATATATACTCTCAAATAGCAATGCTAACTTTGCCCCACCTCTAACAATTGAAGAGTAATTGGTTGTTTCCAGTTTGTGGCAACTATGAATAAGGATACTATGAACATTCCTGTGAAGATTGGACATAAATTTTCAACTTGTTTGTGAAAAAGCCTAGGGATGTGATTGCTGGATTGAATTGCCAGGGTATGTTTAACTTTATGAGAAAACCGCTAAATTATCTTCCAAAGTTGCTATTTCATTTTGTGTTCATATTAACAATGAATGTATGAAAGTTCTTGTTGCTTCACATCCTCACCAGCATTACATGTTGTCAGTATTTTGGGTTTTGGCAATTCTAATAAATGTATAGTGTTATCTACCTGATTTATTTTTATTTTTAAAGATTTATTTATTTATGCATACAAGAGCTGAGGTACAGGCCAGAAATGGGGGGGTGAGAGGATACACCAGAGACAGAGTGGGAAACAGAACGGGCAGAATGACTGAAATACACTGCTGAAGGGAGTAGCGGGAGACTCAGGAGAGGTTCTCCTGCGCCATGTGGGTTGTTCCCTGGCTGGCCAGGGATTGAACTCATGCTACAGAGGCTGCGGGATTGCTTCATAGTGTGGTGCTTAACTTCTTGTGCCTCCAGGAAGGCCCTATCTGATTTAATTTGCATTTCCATTAAGAAATTCAATGTTGTTACCATTTTGTTGCTTATTTGCCATCTATATATCTTCTTTGTGTCTGTTCAGATATTTTGCCTACTTTTACCAGGTTGTTTACTTATTGTTGAGTTTAAAGAGTTCTTTATATATTTTGGATACAAGTCCCTTTTCAGATATTATCAATGATTGAAAATACCCCAATCTGCACCTTTACTTTTCATGCTCTTAATATTTTTTTGCAGAGAGGAAATATTAAGTTGTACAAAGTTCCACTTAATCATTTTTTTTTCCAATCATGGAACATGTTTTTAGTGTTGCAGTTAAAGACATATTGCCACACTGAAACCTATAGATTGTTTTATGTGTGTGTGTGTGTATGTAATAGTTTTTACTTCACTATTAACTTCAATTAGAAACTCAGTGATCTAGGTTTTCTCCAATGTTGTCATTAATAAGTTTTATAGTTTTACATAATATTTAGGTTCCTAATCAATTTTGAATGAGGTTTTTGAAAGGTGTAAGGTCACTGTCTAGATTCATTTTTTGACATTTGGCTGCCCAATTGTTTTAATACTTTTGTTGAGAAGTCTGTCTTTGTTCCATTGAATTGCGTTTACTCCCTTGTCAAAGATCATTTGAGTTTATTTCTAGACTCTATGCTATTGATATGTTTTTTCTTTTGACAATGCCATACTGTGGTGATCACTTTAGTTTTACATTAAGTCTTAAAGTTGACTCTCTCCTCTGACTTTGTTCTTTGACATTGTATTGACTATTCTAGGTCTTTTTATTTTCCATATAAACTTGAGAATTCATGTGTCAGTTTCCACCAAATAACTGATGATGCTTTGATTGGAATTGTATGACATCT